AATCTGTTTTCGGGGTGTATGATGAAATTTCTTTTGCCTTGAAAAATATTACGTTAACCGTTAGTGCGTCATACTTAAATTATGCTCAGATACTATTGTCTCGACTGTCGATTAGTTGTCCTACGGCCATTGTCTACAATGGGCGTTACTCCAAGAGAGCATACGAAAATTGTAACGCTGCACCTACACACTGGAGAGCCCTACCAGTGAGAAAATCATAGTACTAGCCCGGAAGCTCTTCTGATATAAATCCAATCGAGTATCTGTGGTAAATCTGCAAGGAACGACTTCGTGGAATGGACATACGAAGTATTCACATGTGCACTGGGTTATGTTTCATTGGAAAAATACGAAAAACAGTAAATAATAACGGAATTATACGTTTTGTTTCAATTAATTTGCACAAGGGTGTATTTGAGTTGCTATCCTTGTTGTGTTAGTTTTCTTAAACAGCGAAATTAATAAAAACCGGCCTAGACTGATAAATTCTAGTGAAGAAAGGTAGGAACTTAACCTGCATCCTTTTTCCATTGGGGAAACACCTACTATACAAGAAAAATGCTTTAACCAATTCGCTCACGTTTTGACCTGTAGAGAGAAGGGCTCCGCTATGTCTACTTGTTCAAGACGTTATACTTGAATAAATACCAGTCTGGTTTCAACCCAAATATATGGCGGGAATTAGTCGTGTTTTCAGCTGACACACCCAGTTATGGGAATGATGATACTGACAATGAGGGTTATGTAGAAACATGTGAAATCCTTCTAATAAAAGCCCCCCCCTACTTTGCCCATTCATAAATTAATCGATACTGGCTCTCTACACATTTCTTTTTTTTATTATCTCTCATTCGCCATGAGTGGTTTCTCTTAGGGTTTTACAGGGTTTAGATTTTTGAGTTTTTCTACTTAGAAACTGATTGCTATCCCATGCTAGGGAACCCAGTTTAACCCTGATACTTAACACATAGTTGGGGGTAGGAATACGTGATTTGATTCATGCTAGAATTTCAACTTGGCTCGACGACTTCACTTTCTGCGCCGATAAACATTGCACAACCAGCACATGGTTGCAAAGACATGACAGTTACGTCAACACTTTTAACAAAATAAATTATTGATAGCTGCGATTCGATTTCGGGCAATGTAACCAGTTGAACCATCCTGAGATGGGGTGCAGTGCAGATATGGGTTTTTAGTCCTGCTACAGTCTTACATTATCTTGACCAGATATAGCAATTTTGGGTGTCTTTTCCGGCAGTTGTTACAAAAATACCGCAGAATGACTTCTCCCTGTGGCGACTTTGGTAATCGTTGAGGTCTATCTTATTTAGACGCAACCGCATTCATTACTACGTCAATATATATATATTGCTGCATGTTTCATAATAATATAAACAAGTTTTGTCTACTTATTTTAAGTAAGTTCCTTTCATATTGTCTAAGCTTAATAACATTATCATTGTAAGACGATTGTTTCGTCCGTGTACTGGTTGATATATTGAAATGTAATTGTCATCTTTGATAATGGTTCATGTGAGCCGAAAGCTTAGATTGGATTTAAACATTTATCAATATGAGAAGTTCCTTTCGTCTTTCGTATATATATACGAGAATGGGGTATAAAAAATAATAATGTGAGCGCAATCGTAGAGATTAAAAATCAATATCGATTTATATATATATATATATATATATATATATATATATATATATATATATATATATATATATATATATATATAAAAAAGCCACCCGATAGGGCGGCATTTAATTTAGCTCACGCGTAGTGCTCTTTATTGTGCTCTCATCACAACAGGTAGGGAGGAGTAGATGCGACAGACAACAATAAACTACTGAAGTCAAAATTGATTGCTGCATTTAAGTTTTGCATTAATATTTAAGCTTATCTTTTAAAAGTTCAACGATAATTCTTCTTCCGACACTTAATTTAAAGACAACTTGATGTACGTAGGTCCTTACCTTCTGTGCAAACTACTATTTTAATTTCATGAGTGACTTTTGCTGGTTTCACAATTAATTTCGATTAATCCCAGATTTATTTCCCTGTTGTAAAAATTGTTATCGCACAAAAAAATTCGTCGCAAAAATTCACGTAAAAAATTGCCGAAAACAATCGTATTAATGAAAACTTGGGAATCAATTGTTGGTGCGACTTCATATGCGAACGAACGAGAGATGCTAGGAATTAATTTTCTTTTTTTCTTTTTTTTAATCTAGCCGATTTCATTTAGATTTTTTTTTTTTTTTTGGTCTCCTTTATATCACTTATGTTAGTATATACCCCACACTTGGATAATAATTTAATAATTTTAAAAAAAATGTTTATATTTTACATAATGCCTTCTCAAATGCCTTATTTGATGAAAAATATTCGCTTATTATGGTTTTAGTCCTTACTAAATTACTTTTATTCGGTTATAGAATAAAGTTATGTTTCTCTGGAGTTCAGTTGTCTCAATCCTTGACTTGTCCCGGCGATCAGCTGAGTCGGCGGTGTTGAGTCGTCCTGCACTTATACAGAAGGACTTATATCACATAAAACTTCAGTAATCTTTTATTTGTTTCTCAAGAAATTTTACCATTCCCTAGTGTCCCCTTACTTCTGCCATTTACGCACTCTCGATGGTTAGGTTACTCGATGTCTCCTTTTGTCCATCTTACGGTCACTATGTCCTGTGATTGTCAGATTCTATAAGCACCCTTTCGTCATTATGAATCCCAGAAAATGCAACTCTTTTTCAAGTAGACGTGTTTTCATTAGAACCTGCTTGTTGTTTACATGTTCCTCCCATGGTATTCTTAATATCCTCCATTATATCCTTGAGTTGTCCCGGCGATCAGCTGAGTCGGCGGTGTTGAGTTGTCCTGCACATATACAGAAGGATTGATATCACATAAAACTTTAGTAATCTTTTATTTGTTTCTCAAGAAATTTTACCATTCCCTAGTGTCCCTTTCCTTTTGCCATTTACGCACTCTCGATGGTTAGGTTACTCGATGTCTTCTTTTGTCCATCTTACGGTCACTATGTCCTGTGATTGTCAGATTCTATAAGCACACTTTCGTCATTATGAATCCCAGAAAATGCAACTCTTTTTCAAGTAGACGTGTTTTCATTAGAACCTGCTTGTTGTTTACATGTTCCTCCCATGGTATTCTTAATATCCTCCATTATATCCTTGAGTTGTCCCGGCGATCAGTTGAGTCGGCGGTGTTGAGTCGTCCTGCACTTATACAGAAGGACTTATATCACATAAAACTTCAGTAATCTTTTATTTGTTTCTCAAGAAATTTTACCATTCCCTAGAGTCCCTTTCCTTCTGCCATTTACGCACTCTCGATGGTTAGGTTACTCGATGTCTTCTTTTGTCCATCTTACGGTCACTATGTTCTGTGATTGTCAGATTTTTTAAGCACACTTTCGTCATTATGGATCCCAGAAAATGCAACTCTTTTTCAAGTAGACGTGTTTTCATTAGAACCTGCTTGTTGTTTACATGTTCCTCCCATGGTATTCTTAATATCCTCCATTATATCCTTGAGTTGTCCCGGCGATCAGTTGAGTCGGCGGTGTTGAGTTGTCCTGCACATATACAGAAGGATTGATATCACATAAAACTTTAGTAATCTTTTATTTGTTTCTCAAGAAATTTTACCATTCCCTAGTGTCCCTTTCCTTTTGCCATTTACGCACTCTCGATGGTTAGGTTACTCGATGTCTTCTTTTGTCCATCTTACGGTCACTATGTCCTGTGATTGTCAGATTCTATTAAGCACACTTTCGTCATTATGGATTCCAGAAAATGCAACTCTTTTTCAAGTAGACGTGTTTTCATTAGAACCTGCTTGTTGTTTACATATTCCTCCCATGGCATTCTTAATATTCTTCTTTAGAATTACATTCCTGTTGGTGGAAGTCTCATTTTAATCTGTGAGGAAATTATCCAACATTCACTGCCATACAAGAGGATAGATATCACATTGCTCTTCAGCACTCTTCTTTGTTTTTAATGAAATTTTAACGTTTTTCATTATCCCGGTTAGGTTACTCAGCTTCAATGTGCCCTGTGAGTATTAAGTTCTCCAAATCCTTCTTTTTTTTATGTATTCCTGAAATGTCAGCAGTCTCTTCCATATTGTACGGATAAGAGCCATTCCTATTTTCTTGAAAAATCCCTTGTGTCTCTTCTGTTCCATCCCCTTTATTCTTAGTATCTATGGCCTGGGACTTATACCGCTCCAGAAAGTATCTGACTTCATCTGCAATGCAAGAATCGGATCAGAGGAAAAATATGATATTGCTGCCATATTTGTGTTGTAGTAATCCAATTCTTTCTTTCTAGTCTTGGCATAAGATCGTTTTTTGATTAATTGATTGATTCGTTTTCTACGACTTATCAAACTATTGTAGGTTATTTAAAACCATAAAATATTTAGATAGTAAGATCTTTTTTTTTGAGACAATGATTTAGCGATAAAAGTCTTGCTAATTAACCCATAGAGGGGGACGAGAAAAGGTGGGTTCAAACCTAATCAGAAATTGATAAACAAACAACAAATAATAATGAGTATATAAATGGGGGTTCTAATCTATATTAAAATTAATATATGAACTGATCCCTCACTTTGTCGCCACGGTAGTTTCTAATTCCAGATAATGTAAATAAATCTAAAGCTATGCATGTGTAGCTAATTAGGTTTTCATTGATTGGGTATTTCGTTTTCTCTTACTTATAAACCCTTTGCAAGATATTAAAATCCAGAAAATATTTTAGATTTTAATAACATTTGGGGGGGGTGTAGGAAGATAATAGTGGTTTAGTGATACAATTCTTACTAATTAACCCATAACTGGTTTGAAATGGTGGATTCATACCTTTCCTAAGCGTATTTTGGCGTTAAGTGAATATAATGAACCAAACATGTATTTGAACTCGACCCTCCAATTAAGTGTTCGGAGCCATTGCACATCTCAGCTTACGGCACCTGGTATTTCCAAGCGCTCACCGGTCTAGATAGTGACTAGGTACGACATTGCTTAACTTCGGTGATCGTACGAGAACCAGTGTTTCCAACGTGATCTGACCGTAAGAACTCTAGCCTTGACAAGAGTTCAAAAGTGATTACTCGGCCTCGTGGGCGATTAGTTATTTTCCTCCCTGTCTCCTCTCCCCCATGGATGCATTGTGGCAAGCCTATCACTACTCTATCGCTATTTCCATGGAAAATGTTCCGACGCGCTACATTCTTTAGTTTGACTTGTTCATACATTTACAGCTAACATTCGCCATGCCAGTGACATGAGGGCGAACCATACAAATTCCCTTCGAATTCCATTTGTAAGGAGGAATTTCCACTTATACAGTTTCTTCCAAAGTGCCGCTTCTTTATGCAGCAGACTCCCTAGGGGATGCTTCCTTTACCTCTACAATCTTAACCTCTTCAAGTCTAGCGTCAACCGTTATCTATCTTACATATCTTCATAATCTGCACTCCCATCTTTCCCCTTCTGCCGTCATGCAACAACCTTATTTAATAGCCTCTACCTTGAGTGGCTCTTGGGCGTCGTGTTATATAAATATCTTGTAAAACATAATCCTTCTGTAGAAGTCTGTTGCTTCATATTTGAGCTTTATCTGTAAGGTCAGTTTTCAGCATTTACTGTCATACAGGAAGATGTCTTTGTATCTTGATAATTAGCGGTTGAAATTATTGTCTTTTTAGATAAGCTTCAACCTCGACATCTGTCACCGACCAGAAATGTTCAGCTATCTCAGTTAGGAAGCAATAAAGTTTCTTGCGTTTTTATTTTTCTCCCACCAGTTTTTGTTCATTATGATTATTATTTCATTTCTTTTAATTTCTGATCTGTACATATTTCTTTCCGGGTCCCAACCAGAGACCTAAGTTCAGAAATGGCATCATGACATTTTCCACTGAGCAATTAAAAAAAAAAACATATTTTACATAGATAAAGCCCTTCGTAAGGTGTAGGCTGAGAACAATGTTTTCTATTTCTTTAAGGCATGGGCTTCCAGGAATCCCTTCAATGAGTTCACTGGAATCTTTTCCAACCAATCCAAAGGCTCCTATTACAGCGGGGATTGTTGATGTTTCCATGTGCCACATTTTTGAGATTACGATTTCAAGGTCGTTGTATTTTGATAGCTTTTTTATGTATGTGTAGTAAAAAAAATTCTTCCGTAGAACGCTGTTGCTTCATATTTGAACTTTATCTGTAAGGTCATTTTTCAGCATTTACTGTCATACAAGAAGATATGTCTTTCTACCTTGATAATTAGCGGTTGAAATTACTGTCTTTTTAGATAAGCTTGAACCTCGACATCTGTCACCGTCCAGAAACGCCCAGCTATCTCAGTTAGGAAGCAATAAATTTTCTTCCTTGTTTATTTTTCTCTCACTAGTTTTCCTTCATTATTATTATTATTATTATTATTATTATTATTATTATTTACTATAATACTTCTTTTTATTACCTCCGAAGCGTTTCTCATTTTAACAATATTCATTCTACCGATTTTTTCCTATTTTTCTTAGAATTTTCCACCGCCGTTTTTCTTTTCTTTCATTTATCTTTCTTTTTTTCTTTCACCTTTCTGTTTCTCTTTCCGCTTCTTGGCCGATGACGGCACACAACCCCCGCCATTTTCATGTTCCACTGATGTGCTCATATGAATCTAATTCTTCATTTAATCACGTTTGAGCCGAGCCCGCCTTCTGCGAAGGGTCGGAGATGACAGTTGCATCGCCACGCCTCACCGCCTACATTGACATACTGCAAATGAAGAAGAAACACACGGATCTCTCCTCGGGGCTGCATCCACCACAATCTACATACCCCGTACAACAACTGAAGCATCGTCGGTTCCAGGCTAGGGCCAAAGGTCACTGTGCACGATAAATTCTAGACTATATCGTATCAATCTTTCTCCTGGTTCGGCCAACTCTTCCGGGCAATCAGCGACCTAATAAAACCTATTATCGCGACGCAGTCTCGCGTGTAATGAACTGCTTGCAAAGAGGCGGGGGCATGTGCTCGACTGCCCGGGACTGGTAGATGCTTGCATGGAATTTGGAGGGGGAAATCTTTCAGAGCTGCTTGCGCATTCTTTCTTTGCTTCTGTCCTTATTCTATCTTTCTGTGCTTGTTCCTTGAGAACAGACTATTTGATTGCAGTTGAACCCACTTTGACGTACATGTCCTACCAACTGGTGTCGTCAGGTGACAGAGATAAAAACGAATATGACCATGATAATGATAATCATTTTTTACACTGTTTTCATTCGAACTATTATCCTCACCTTTTTTGTTGTTATCTCAAGTGCGCAGTACACAAAATATCCCCCCCCCCGGCAGGTGTATATCGATCTGCTTACCCTACAGGGAATTCCGAACTGAACACTTTATTTAATCAACGGGGATAGACTGTTCTCTTTCCACTACACATGTCTGGGGATATCACGTCTAGTTCTAGAAATACGGAATAATAGCTTAGTGGATTAATACGTCGGTTCATCTGTTTGGTGACATATTGTGTGTTCAATCCCTAGGCCGGGTAGTATTGATTTGGATTTAGTGGAAATAGGTCGAGCAATAACTGAGCAGTGTTAAAAATAAGAACTAGATGACATATACCTAAACGTGGGTAATAGAACGAGAACACTAAGTTAAATAAATTTTCCCTTTCTGAATATCTTGTAAGTTACCCGGATTGATAAACTCCTGACGAAGTCCGGACAGCAAAACGGCTGAAATGTTGTGATAATAAAACAAAGATGAGGACAAAATTCCGAATGTAAACAGCATGATTAATATCAAATTTATTGATGAATTTAAGCGGAGTACTTGATTGGCAGTTAGGTCTCATTATTTGTGTGCAGACTTCTCTCTTGAGCGGTTTGTAGCACATCTATTTATCATCCTTCAGTTGGGTCTCTGCCTTTGAGAAGAGTGCATACAGAGGCGACTCCGTCAAAGGACAGAGTCGCAACTGAGGAAAATTATACTGAGAGGTGCCCAGCTCTAGGGAACAGCTGCCCAAGTCTGCGCCCTCTTATTGCACCAGTGAGAGGGATGGGTTCTCGCACCGAGGCCAGCGCAACTGACGGTTGCGAGGCTGCGGGAAATTTCTGTTCCTGGCCCGGGTGTACGCGCTCGGGGTCCCCACCTTAAAAAGACCTTGTGTCGCATCTCGTCATAGTAGGGAGACAGAGTAAATAACTAGGTCTCATTATTTTAGTGTTGAAATTGTCAAGTGTAAGCGTAAGGTTCATGTTTAATATTTTTTCTTTTCTGGGCCATCTTCCTTATGGAAGTCTCTTTCGGTTTTTCCCAGTCAACTTCGATTTAAAAAAAATTAAAGGAACAGAAATCGTCATCATCTGTAGCCTTGAACCCTGTTCCTTTACTGTTTTTATCCTCAATAACATTTTTTTCGTACTTGGCTTTAGTACTGATCAATTATAGCTCACCATGTTCACACTGCCTGTAGGTTACCAGGATGGATACACACCTGATGACAGCCGGAGAGCACAACGTGTAATAACAATTAAAATGAGGACAATTGTCCGAATATAAAGAGTGTAGATAATGATAACGCCTCATCACAGAAATTAAGACAGAAGATGATTGGATGATAATAACAACAAAGATGAGGACAATAGTCCGAATATAAATTGTGTAAATAATGATAACACCTCATCTCAGAATTTCAGACGAAAAGATAATCATTTTATTGGATATCATGATAGTGATAATCATATGTAGATGTTTTTCTTTTTTTTTACTGGGAAAACAGATCATGTGATATCCTTGTTCATTGTAAGTAATCTGATATTTATTTCAAAATGCAATTATCGATTTTCGATTTTAATTTCAATTAAGATAGCGAAAGTGTATTTATTTCCCGTCTGGACTGTAATTTCTCTTTCAGCAAAAATGCAGAACAAAATCCCGTACGGGCACATACAAAATAAAATATTAATCTATAGAATTTATAATTTTAATCATGGCTGCAAACACCGATTTAAATTTCTCTGTTTTTCTTCTATGTGCCTTGTCCTTTCACAACGTTGGTGATCATGGCTCTCCACAATTTCTTCTGCTTTGTAGCTCTTAATAAATGATAATATATTTTGGTTATCTCTCCACCATTTGTTTCACCATCTCAAGATCGTCGGGTAGGTTATGAAGATTTTCTAAGCGCAAAAGACTGATAGTATAGGGCACCTAGTGAGGATCGAACTCACTATTCAGTCGTAATTGATACAACGAGTCAAGCTAGCTAACCATTACATCACGTCGAAGTGTTCAAATGATTTTATAAACGTAGCTTAGATGTATCATAAGGACAAATGTTTAGGACACTCAGTGAGGTTCGAACACACTACTCAGTAGCAATTTTTCTGTTGAGACAAATTCGTTAAGCATTACACCACGTCGAAGTGCCCAAAAGTGATTTACTAATATTAGCTTAGTTGTGGCACAAGGCTGATATATTGGGGCACCTGGTGAGGATCGAAGTTCCCTGCTCAGTTGTAATAGTTCTAGCAAGACAAGCTTGCTAAACTTTACACCACGTCGAGGTGCCCTATTGTGCATTGCTTTCATCTGTCAATCTTTGCTTCAGTCTGTCCTCTGTGCATCGTGTTTTCCAAGCCCACTTTCCTTATAATATACCCAAGAAATTTCAACTGCTTGTCCCTGATATCAAATATAAGTATTCTTTTTTTTATCCATTTTCTCCAAAAACATGTTGTTGCTTTCATATCCAGTCGAGTATAGTCTCCACATCCTTCTGCAGAGCGATATTTCTGCTGCTTCAAGTCTCTTCGTCATTTTTGAGGGGACTGTCCAGTATTCGATGCCATATAGGAGAACTGATATCATGTAACAATTCAGTACTCTTTTGTTTGATTCTAACTAAGTTTTCCTGTTTCTTAGTACTCTGCTTAGCTTTTGGAAGACACCTTTCGCTAATCCCAATGCGCCTACAGATTTCAGTGATACACTTTCCTTCCTCTCTTAAAACTCTTCCTAGATATTTAAATCATGCATTTCGTCTTCTAGC